ATAATATTACAGGTACTGCAATCTCCTGTTTGGTCAAACATACAAAAACAGAGAGGCCTCAAAGTCCCATGCTGGAGGTCTTGCAAACAAGTTTCTCTCATCATAGCACGTCATTTCTGTGCTCTCGATGCTGCTCCTTCAACTCCAACAATTTAAATCATCCAGAACAAAATCTTGCAGGTTGATTCAAGTTTGCAAGCTGGCCACCTGGTTGTGCAGTATATGCACACTGTCTAGAACCAAATATTCTGCAAAACGAATGGTGACAATTCTTTTATTAGATTCCATTTAATTGATATGCTTGATAAGTGCAGGTTCAGAATACACAAGGAAGATGTTTTCTTCAGATCAAGAAATAATGGTTCCAAGTGTAACACACTTACTGGGCTTGTGCCCATCTTACATAGGCAGCGGTTCACCATCACCAGACGTGCTCTAGAAATTAATTTCTTCTTTGTGCTATTGTTATATTTTGCAAAAGAAGGTGCTTTTAAACAAAAGGGAAATTGCAAAGCAAAGTAGATGAATATCTCTACATTTATGCATGAAGGAACCCGATAAGAAATGCATGACTGAATACATCAAGAAAAGAAGAAAGATGAAGCATATTAAAAATAAGATTAGTATGACACATACCTTATTTTCTATGCCAGCCAGAAAGGTCTTGGTCTCCTCTAATTCACACCATTCCTTTAGTCCCCGGCACCTCGTTATTGTTAGGTCCTGTAGGTTAGTGAGTTGATGTATTCCCTCAGGAAAAGACTTGATACCATCACATCCATCCAGATAAAGTCTCTTTAGAGAGGTGGGCAGCGCAGATTCCCTTTGTTGGTTGTCAGTGAGCTTCATCTTACCCTCCTCTGATTCAGGAACCACGTGCTCTAATGCATCGCAGTTAATAAGTACTATTTCCTGGAGGCTGGTGAGTTGTTGTATGCTTGCCGGCAACGACCTCAAGCCTTCATTGTTATGTATCTCAAGTTTCTTGAGAGAGGTCAATTCGCCTAGCCAATGTGGCACAATTGTAGCGATTCAAGCTTTGTGAGTTGCCTCATGTTCTCGTTCAACACCTTTACACCATTGCTACTCTGTATATTCAGAATCTTTAGAGATCGGAGCTCGCCCAACCATATTGGCAGTTCTTCCATGTCTTCATCTTCTAGCCATAGTTCCTCCAAAGAGCATAGTAGTTGGATGATATCTGGTGGGCCGGTTAGATCGCCACAATTGGCAATAGACAAAGAACGGAGTCCAGAGAAGTGTCGAAGAAAACTCCACTCATGCAGAGGCACCTTGCAGTCTCTTACTGACAACATACTAGTTACTGGAGAAGAGGAGGAAGCACTGATGTGTGACACAATGCACTCATCCTTTACACCAATGTTGTGCAACACATTATCACTGCATCTTATCTCCCATATTTTAACTTTAGGCAGAGGCCCTTTCATCCTTAGCATTGGGCAACCATGTATTACTAGTTCTTCTAACACGTTCTCCTCACCGGTGGAGTATGAAGTGTCCCACTCTTCCAGATTTGCCATATCTCTGAGAACCAGTGAGTCCAGGTTTGGTAGTTGGCCCACTACCCAGCCTGGAAAGCAGACACTGTTATAACCACTTATCTCCAACTTCCTCAATGTCCTTGGTGGCACTAGTTTTTCCAGCAACATTTGGTCATCCACAAATCTGTCAACACCTCGAGTCCACTCCAGTTTCAACTTCCGAATGCTTTGCTTTTCCATTAATTTTATACTATGTGCCTCTCCTGCGGACTTCACATTTTCAAGTTTAGTTATCTCTATCTCAAAAGGATCTGTGGGCTTTAGCAGGACAAGATTGCTGCTAGATCCATCATTACCAGCACGCACCACAAAGTGTGGTAACGATATTGCTATGCTACCGAGTTGAGGTATTGCAGGTTCAATGTGTGCAGTTTTGTCAGGCTACAAATACTTTCAGGTATACTTTCGATCAGCCAATTTCTTGACAAGTCCAAATGCTCTAGATCTGAAATATTAATTCTGCATATATGGTTGATGAGACTGTCCCAGGTTTCTTCTGAGAGAAAACGGAATGCATCTATGTTTCTCAGTCCAGATAGATTTAAATACCGGAGCTTGGTCAGATCATCTGGCAGGGAACTGACGTGTGTTTCTTTTAAATTCAAATGTTGCAGACTGGTAAGACCGACCAAAGCTTCATGTACACCATCAATCATAGAACAACGTGATAAGTCAAGATGGAGCAGATTCTTCAGACTCCCAAATAATCTTGGCAATTTTTTCATAGCTTGCCAACCTGATAAGTTTAAGTACTTGAGTTGACTGAATGTGCACAAAGATTCAGGGAGCTTTTTGATTCCACATTCCCTTGAAGATAAGTTCAAATACTCAAGTTTGGTGAGGGCTCCCAAAAATTCTGCATCTTTACCACATTCAAGATATGAGTTGTTTGATAAGTTCAAATACTGCAGTTTGAATAGGTCACCCAGAGCTTCTGGTATGTCTCCGATATTTGGGCAGTATGACAAGTCCAAATACTCTAGTTGTGTGAGGCTCTCCAAGAACACCGATATTCCTTCTACAGAAGAGCAATTTGATAAATCTAAATGCGCCAACTTTTGTAGCCTCCTGAATGATTCTGGCAGTTTTGTAATTCCGGGACAACTGGACAAATCAATATACATTAGACCCTCAATTTCTCCAATTGACTCTGGTAGTGCTAAGATTGTAGGAGATCCATGAAGGTTCAGGTAAATCAATTTTGAGAGCTTGGTGATACTGTCTGGAATCTTTGTATCTTGGACTCTTGGAGCGTTAAGATATCTCAATTGCTTGAGGTCACCAATACAGTATGCCAGCTTATGTATGGTGCATTCACTTAAGTCCAAGACACGCAAAGACTTGGCAGATGAAAATGTGTCATCATGAAGTTTATATTTGTCACACCCCATAAAACGCAACGCCCTTATCTTGGATAAGTCCGATCCCAATGGCTTGCTACAATCATCGAGTAATGCGTAGTGGTAGCAGCTTTCTTCAGCGCTATTGCCTTTGCAAACAAAAAGAATTTCATCGTCCATGACCGATCTTGCCAAATCGTGCACCAGGTCATGCATGGTCAACAATATAATATCTTCATCACATAGCTCAACAGTCTGCAACAAAAGCATTGAGCAATGTCAGAATTTCAGTTTTTTATTATATTAATAGCACTTATTACTTAATTCCTCAAATTTAAGCCATTTTATGCATAAATCCTTTATTAAATAATACATTTTATTTTTGGTCCGACGCTATTTCCCATGTTTAGAAAAAAATTTAAAAAGGGGGATAGCCCCGGCCTTTGCTCCCATTTGAACTTTGAGTCACAAAACCATACAAATTTCATCTCTCAAACCATTGCAAAATGGTTTTCAATGATGCGATGGTTGTTTTGTGCGCTGCCGGTTAGACATGATTTTAATTCGAAAATAAGAAATTACAAAATATTTGAATGTCAAGGAAACTGGAGAAGGAAAATAATTATTTGATAAAATTCAGAAAGAACTGCCAACAGAAAGAAAAGCACAAAAATCAGAAAATGTAGGAAAATGGGAACACCACAGCGCTTTTTTCATCCTCGCCTCTAGGGATGATGACCTGGCAACAAGAACGTCGAGGAGGTCTGAAGTTCATCATCTCCGTCCTCCCTGCATAGGCAGGTGGTAGGCGGCCTCGGGCCCCTTCAAGGTAGCTGCAGCAGGCAGTCTGCGTCATCCACATCCAGCAGTGGCGACCACAATATTTCAGCCTCTCACATATTTACATCACCGGTAATTTTGACCAAACCTGTCACGGCGATAGCTGCCATGGATCATTGCAGACGATATACCACCGGTTTTAGAAGAGATGCTTATATGATGAAATGAGCTCGCTAGTCGTCCCATCTATAGTTTTTTTGTGGCTGGAAATCAACATCATTGACGAGCGCTTAACCACTAGTGGCTGACTTATCACAGGTGGGTGAGCCGCCTCTGATGCATGTGCTCACTAGGGGGTTGGTCTGCCCACGTGTGTTAGCTGGAGCTATCACGATCAAAGAGTACCGCCGACTGGTAAACCCGCCAGTTGACCTGCTAGACACCAGTGATAGCTACTGTTTATAATGTCTGTACTAGACAGTTTTGTTTCTTTTTCTTTTTCTTTTTCTTTTTTGCGGATGGAGACAGTTCTGTTTTAGTGATGATTATCCATGACGGTTTCCAAACCCGTATCAGATTCTAAACAATATTCGAAAAAAAGAACAGAGGGGTTAACTTATCGCCCAAGTAATCATGTTAGTCACAGTGAGCCTGATAGCATGATAAGAGACTGTTTATGCAACTGTATATACCATATGTGGATGTGAACTAAAGACCTCAGGGTGGGCATTTCCTACAACTGTGTATTGACCTTTTCTTTTACTAGCATGCTGCAGTAGAATTAACAATCAAATATTCTAGGGATGTGTTATTTTAGCAAATCTAGGGATATTTTGGGCTGCATTTGTGTGTATCAATCACTGAAATGCTGTTAAGAAGTTATTTGACAAAAATGCATTGTAAGCAACGACTATGTGATATACTAGTCCAAATCGTACCGGCCAATTTTTGAATTATACTTGAGTTGCCTTACGCTAGTTGCAACAAAATAACCAAAAAGTTCATAAAAGGTATGCACAACTCACCAATGATGGCTTTGAATTTTCAAGGAAAGAGAGCCCCAAAAGATGACTAATGTATTTCTCACCAAGCTCCCAAGTAGAGAAACCAAGAGAAATCCATTGATGAATAAGATCATCTTTAAGTATCTTCTGACCTTTTGGAAATATTGCACAATAGGCAAAGCATAGCTTTAGATACGAAGGCAAAACACTATAGCTTAACTTCAAAGATGCAAGCACTTGTGTAGAAGATGTATCTTCCAAAGAAGATGCAGTCCAGATATTACTATCTCTCACTGATACCCATTGACCAGGCTTCATAGATCATCTAAAACAATCAGAATCTTCTTATGGGCAAGGAGCTTTTTAAGGGAATTATGGACCATCTGCTTTCCAGTGTACCCACTCTCATTCTCTTTCTCTGATAGTTGTGATATTATAGAATTTCCAATTTTGATCAAATCAAATGTCTGGGACACGTATACCCACACTTGAGAGTATCCACTGAATTGAGGACTATTGTAAACCATTTTTGCCAGGGTTGTCTTTCCAAGACCTCCAATACCATATATAGGAAGGATTGTGATATCTTTTGCTAGGCTCTCAGATAAAGAAGCCAATATTATATCTCTCTCCTCAGTCCTCCCAATGATTTGTGTCTCCAAGGTTGACGATGTTTCCCGTATATCCGTAACCTTTGGCTCATTGGCATGAGTGCCTTCTGCGAACTTGAATTCCTTGTGTTGATCTGTTATGACCTTCAGGTCGTCCCTCATCTTCTTCATCCTATTAGCCATTGTAATGTTGGGGCCAATTGAGAGACAAGGGATCATATTCGCCAAATATTTTTTGAAGGAGAACTGCAAGACAGTTGCTTTGTTAGTAAAATAAAGATGGCCAGCAGCCAGTAGTTTAGTATAGTAGGATACTACAACTGCATTCAGCCAACAGAAAATTTGGTTAAAACATTAAGAGGCACATCCTCTTATTTCTAAAAACATCCGACTGTAACTGCCAAGTGTAAGACCTACGCAACCGAGGCTCATTTGAATTTATTTTGTATTTTTAATGATTTTTTTTGTTCACTTCCGGGCTCATTTGAGCCTGGGAGCCAAAACGCCCCTCTCCAATGCAACCTTTAATGATGTGCTGAGGGCATCTCCAGCCGTTGGCCCCCCAGGGGGCGTCTAAAAGCGCCGCCTGGGGGTGAGCCGGCGCAAAAAATGACCCTGGGGGCGAGTCGGTCCCCAGCCGTCGGCCCCCAGGGCCGCCCCCAGGCGCGTATTTAAAAAAAACCGTTCAGCGAAGTTATGATAAAAACTAGTTATATTTCGGCCAACCATGGCAAGTTTCGACGAAATTCGTCCAAATAACCTAATCTAAAGTAAAAGAAAGTGGCTGAAGTCATCGCCGCCATCGTCGTCGTCGGCCTTCTCCTCCTTGACGCGGGTGCCCCTGCTGGACCCCTGCCCGGCGTCGCCTTGGCGAACAGGCGGCGGCGCGTCGTCGTCGTCGTCGCTATCGCATAAGACGACGACCCCGCCTTCCTCGCGGCCGCGTCGGCGCTCCTCGAAGCGGCGTAGGGCGGCGCACTAGCGCTCCTTCTCCTTCTCCCGGCGCGCCTTCTCCAACGCAATGGAGTCCTGGCGCGCCCATTCGAGGGCCGCGTCGTCGTCGTCGAACTCCGCGTTCACCGGCGCCAGCCCCGGCTCCGTCTTCACCGGCGCCAGCCCAGGCTCCGTCTTTGGCTTGACGAAGCGCGGAGGAGCCGACGAGGACGAGGCGCGCCGGCCGCCCTCGTTGATGACAATGCCGGCGCTGCGAGTGCGCCGGCCGAGCGGCGTCTCCGCCGCGGGCTCGGCGTTGACGCCGAGCAGCGCCAGAGAGCCGGAGGAATGGGAAGAAGAGCGCGATGAGGAGGAAGAAGAGGAAGCGCCGAACCTCCTTGGCGCCCATGGCCCGACGCGTCGGTGCTGCGCCGGGGCGGCCACCCTCGCCGGGGGGTACGCCAACGGCGGGTCGTTGCCGCCCTCGAGGTACGTGAGCACGCCCTCGAGTGTGCGGCCGGGGACGCCCCACCAGAGGTGGGGCCCCTCGCTGTTCTGTCGGCCGCCGACCACCGGAGCGCCGTTGGTGGATGCCAAGCGCTGCTGCTGGCGGCGCTGGAAATACGCCGCCCAGGGCGCGTGGTTGTCGGCGGCGTACTGGGGGAGGGAGCGTTGGGCGTCGGTGAGGGACGCGCGCACGATCTCGACCTCCTCGGGGAAGTACCTCGGCTTCGCCACGGCGTCGGGCAACGGGGGAATGGGCACTCCCCCGGCGCTGAGCCTCCACCCCGTTGGCCCGACGCGCATGTCCGGCGGCGCCGGGATGTTCGCCTGGAACAGGAGCCAGGACTCCTGTTCGCGGAGCGAACGGCGGCCGAAGTCGTTGGTCGCCGCCTCGTCTCCAGGGAAGCGTTCTGCCATGGCGACGGCGGGGCTGGGCGGGCTCGGGAGAGGTAGAGGGAGGGGCTGGGCGGCGGCCCTCGGGAGAGGCAGGGAGAGGGAGGGGCAGGACGGCGGCGAGGGGCGGGGCTGGTGTGGGCACAGGCGAGTGGAGGCCGCCGGCTTTTATAGCCGGGCCGCGCCCGTGTGTACGCGTGCGAGGGAGGGGAGGCGTCGGCGCGCCGTCCCGTGAAGCGCCGCCCGTGAGGAATCAATGGCAAGGCTGACCGGCGGCAGCCTTGCCATTGATTCCCCGCGGGAACCGAGGCCGTTGGGGGAAGACGAGGCGCCGAGTCGCTGACGCGGCTGGCTCGCGTCTTTTTCGCGCCAAAACAGTTCGCCCCGACGCCCCCGTACGCCCCCCAGGGCGCCGGGTTCGGGCTGGGTCCGCCGGCGCTGTTTTCGGCCCAAGCCGGCGAAAATCGGGCTCCTGGGGGCGCGACTAGACCGTTTTTTCGGCGCCGGCGCGAAAAAATCGCCCGGGGAGGCCTTCCTGGGGGCGCGGCTGAAGATGCCCTGAGAACTGGAGCTAAAACAAAATGGTATGGAGATGTTTCAGATGCCCGGCCCGAAGGCTGAGGCCTGTCAAAACCATGTCTAGTTCATCCATGGATCTGGTCTCCAAATTATTACTATGGAGACTGGATAACGGATTAGCAACTGTTGTGAAGATGTGTGTGTGAGTGTGCGTGCGTGTGTATGCGTGTGCACGTGTAGGTGTGTGTGTTGGTATTAGCTGTGTACATATCCTACCTATGAAGGGGCAGAGCGTCTGCTCATTGTGTTTGTATACACTTGATATTTCAGTTTGAGTCAATAAACCCATCACTTGTGAAAAAGAAGTGTTGGTAAAGATGTGGACGATCATAGAGCCAAGATCAAGCCAAACGATCTACTAGCAGATTCAATAGCTTAAGTGTAACTGATTCTTTCCAAATTGTTTTCGAGTACCTATATCTATATGACAGCTCATTTTGTAGCCAAAACAAGCTGCGTCAATTTACAGCACAAATGCGTACCTTGCGCGCAGATGGCTGGGTGATGGCTTGTGTGTCTGCTTCGAACTCATCAATCATGTCAGAGACCTCATACAAGAAGTCCTTGAGCCGCTTCAGCCAAAGACCCGTCAGTTCGTCGGTGATCGACTGCCTCTCCGCGACCTTGAGCACTGCCTTGACAGACTCCAGCGCCATCTTCATCTTCTTGAGGTCCTTGTCCAAATTCATCTGCAGCGCGATCTGACCTCCGATCAGAGAACCAACCTGGTCACCCACCACCTTGAGGATGGCAGCCGCAAGCATGCCGCCGAGCGCCGCCATGGCCGCCGCTGCTCGTGCTCGGCCGCGCTCTCAAGGTGCGGGTGTCGAAGGTCGGGGGAGGAAGAATGGTGCGGTAAATGCTACTGAGGTACGCAATGGTGACTTATTGCTGGAGGCTAGGCCATTGCATCAACAAGCTCGTCAGCTCTATCCCAAGTCGTTGTATGTCTTCATTTTGGAAGAGGGAATATCTGTAGTAAACAGCTGTACGCATCATGTGGTAGCTTGGCCGGCCCTCCTGCTAACTTGATCCGGTCTATATTACTTTTTTTTGTTTGGCTTATTCTAATGCTAGTATTATTGGCCGGGTTGCGTCATTTCAATTATTGGCTGTGTTTTGTCTCCAAAATTACTTAACAAAGTGGGGTGGTTTTGCTGATGTGCCGCCCAAGTGTTAGTTTTCTCAGAATGTTCAACAGAAAAAGTGTTAGATTTTGTATCCATCGATACGGCACAGCTGCTGAACCCGTCCAGAAGACACCTACTCCCTCCGTCTGAAAATACTTGTCATCAAAATAAATAAAAAAAGATGTATCTAAAACTAAAATACGTCTAGATCCATCATCTTTTATCCATTTTGATGACAAGTATTTCCGAACTGAGGGAGTACGACGGAGATAGTTTAAGTTTTCTTAATGCCGCTTGGTTCAATAATGGAACCGCCGGCCACGAGAGGAGGAGAGCGATCGAGCCCAACCAAACCGCGCACACCCACCCATTAGGTTTCATCGACGTTGGAACATCAGAGGTGGCCTTGCCTGCCACAGATTAGTTTGGAGATGGCAAAGTGGAGTCTACCTGTTCAAAAAATTTAAGGCCTCCTTTGGTTTGTATGATTTTTGTAGAAATTGTGTAGGATAGGATTTTCAAAGAATTTTTTTTTGAAGACCTTTGTTTTATAGGAATGGATTTCTATTTCCATGTACTCTCTCCGTTCCTAAATATTCGTCTTTCTAGAGATTTGAACAAATAACTACATATGGAGCAAAATAAGTGAATCTACACTCTAAAATATGTCTATATACATCTGTATATGATAGTCCATTTGAAATCTCTAAAAAGACAAATATTTTGGAATGGAGGGAGTAGGATAGAAAGCAACCTTTCACATTTCAAACGAAAAAAACATTAGCCTAGACTTAATGGAATAATTTCTATCATATTCTTTAAATGACATCTCTTTCTTCGTAGGAATTGAGATGCATGTCTTCTTACTTTTTATAATTTTCTTATTCCTATCTATGACATTCCTATACAATGAACTAAAGGAGGCCCAATTTCAACTTCAGTCCTGTTTAATTAACTATTACTTGCAGATAACGCTACTGTTATATTATCCAGCTAGCTGTGTGCCAACGTGCTGGTGTCCCGACGGCGGCTTTCATCTTCACGACGAGGCTATGTACAGTTTCAGCCATCTTCGAGACCGGGGTGATGCTATTTCCGGTGAAAATCGCACCGACTCTGGACATGGTGGACAATGGCAGCGCCTATAACGTCGTTACCTTCTCGAGGCATCGTCGTTGTAGGTTGCGACACCACGCTCGGGGTGCTCTGAGAGAAACCCTAGATCTGGGACTCCCGGATCGGACGTTGACGACATCTTCGGTGTTGTTTTCCCTCGTGTGGTCAGCGCTTTGGGGCATGAGAGCTGGCTAGAGAAGACGAGTGGAGGAGCGGTGTTCAATCTACCACAAGACCGATGACGGGTATCATCGGCGTGGTGTAGCGGAGTTTCAACGACAGGTGTGTGTGGATGGACGCGTGCAGGAGAGTGACACTGTTTGGTGTTGTGGTGGCATCAATAGTAGCCTGGCAAGGTGAATTCATTGATCCTTCCTGGGACGACGGAAGATGGCGATGGCACACCCAAAGCGTGTGCAGATGGTGCATGCTTCAGATCGGCTAGACCTGATGGTGCTCTCGGCCTAACGCGGGGCAAATGTGAGGCCATTGGATTAGATTGTGCACGTTCATGTGGACCGGGCACATTATTAAGAGTGTAGGTGTTGCGACTTTGGTTGCCACATAGAAGGCTGCGGGTCCATGAATAATAATAAAGATGATTGTGTGCATCGAGGTCGGGGGTAATCCTCTTTTTTGAAAACAAATTATCCATGCTGTGTGTAAGAATTCAAAAAGACGTAGGATAAGTTGCACTAACAATGCCTACTAGCTTAATTGGTGGAATTTGGCACTGCGAAGAAACTGTCTTATGTGTTTTGCAGCTTTTTATTAAACCGGGCTTAACCCCTTTTCATTGCAATGAACGGAAATACAGCAGTTTCAGAAACATGTTCAGGGAGAAGGGAAAGGGAAAAAGCGAGTTCAAGCACTGCCAGGAAACCCACCACATTCGACCGTCATCGTGACGAATGCCATGGGGGCGAAAACCTGAGCAGCACCAATATCTTAAACGTTCAACTAGCTATTACAGTACCAGCAGCCAGGGGGTAAACTGACCCCAACATACCCAAAAACACACCCTACTGAAGCAACGAAGACATAGAACTCCAAGCTCTGAAGCGCAGCACCAGAAGTTCACTCTCCGGTGATCGGTTGTCTTGCAGCTTCACACATCGTTATCATCTGCATGGTACCCGCCCTGATCTGTTCCGCGCCTGTGCGTAGCTTCTTAGCATCATCTCCTTGTTGTATCCCTGTCCAATAAAGCAAGAAAGAACACATGGAAAACACAATTTCAAATGGTGTTTTAATCATCTTCATCTCAAAACTAGCTCGATTTCAATCCAGCCAAATAGCCCAACAGGCGGCTGCAAGGCCCACTGTGTAAAATCTCTCTCCCCCGGGGAGAAAAGTATGGCACCATGCATAAAACTACCAGGAACTATTGGGACATCTATCAGTACCCAACACAATCCCAATAGATCTCCACAGGCATTTCGCCACAGGGCAGGTGAAAAAAAGGTGATGCAAGCTCTCAACCTCTTTGCAGAAGGAACAACAAGGATTACCAGGCCATTTCCTTCTGCGCATAACCTGTCGAGTAAGCACAGCATCTTGCGACATTTGCCACAGGAAGATGATACAACTCCGTCGTATCTATAATTTTTGATTGTTCCATGCCAATATTCTCCAACTTTTATATACTTTTGGCAACCTTTTATACTATTTTTTGGGACTAACATATTGATCCAGTGCCCAGTGCCAGTTCATGTCTGTTGCATGTTTTTTGTTTCACAGAAACCCAATATCAAACGGAGTCCAAACGGGATAAAAACGGACGGAGATTTTTTTTTGGAATATTTATGATTTTCGGGAAGTAAAATCAATGCGAGACGGTGTCCGAGGTGGTCACGAGGTAGGGGGCGCGCCGTACCCCCCTCAGGCGCGCCCCTGACCCTCGTGATCCACCGGTAAGGCGGTTGACGCTCTTCTTTTGGCGCAAGAAAGCTAATTTTATGAGAAAGATCTGGGCGAAAGATTCACCCCAATCGGAGTTACGGATCTCCAGATATAAAGGAAATGGTGAAGGGGTAGAATCAGAGAACGCACAAACAGAGAGATAGATCCAAGCTCGGAGGGGCTCTCGCCCCTCCCAAGCCATGGGAGCCAAGGACTAGAGGGGAAACCCTTCTCCCATCTAGGGAGGAGGTCAAGGAAGAAGAAGAAGAAGGGGGGCCCTCTCCCCCTTGCTTCCGGTGGCGCCGGAACGCTGCCGGGGGCCATCATCATCACCGCCATCTTCACCAACAACTTCACCGCCATCATCACCAACTCTTCCCTCCTCTATGCAGCGGTGTAACCTCTCTCTTACCCGCTGTAATCTCTACTTAAACATGGTGCTCAACGCTATATATTATTTCCCAATGATGTATGGCTATCCTATGATGTTTGAGTAGATCTGTTTTGTCCTAATGGCTATTTGATGATCGTGATTGGTTTGAGTTGTATGTTTTATTATTGGTGCTGTCCTATGGTGCCCTCCATGTCGCGCAAGCGTGAGGGATTACCGCTATAGGGTGTTGCAATACATTCATGATTCGCTTATAGTGGGTTGGTGAGTGACTGAAACACAAACCCGAGTAAGAGGGATTGTTGCGTATGGGATAAAGGGGACTTGATACTTTAATGCTATGGTTGGATTTTACCGTAATGAATCTTTAGTAGTTGCGGATGCTTGCTAGAGTTCCAATCATAAGTGCATATGATCCAAGTAGAGAAAGTATGTTAGCTTATGCCTCTCCCTCAAATAAAATTGCAATAATGATTACCGGTCTAGTTATCGATTGCCTAGGGACAAATAACTTTCTCGTGACAACAAGCTCTTTACTTTTACTAATTTAGTTGTGTCTTTATCTAAACAGCCCCTAGTCTTTATTTGCGTGCTATTTACTTTCTTGCAAGCTTATCCAAAAACACCTACAAAGTACTTCTAGTTTCATACTTGTTTCCGGTAAAGCGAACGTCAAGCATGCGTAGAGTTGTATCGGTGGTCGATAGAACTTGAGGGAATATTGATTCTACCTTTAGCTCCTCGATGGGTTCGACACTCTTACTTATCGAAAACTGTTGCGATCCCCTATACTTGTGGGTTATCAGAAGATTTTGATTTTGAGTGGTATTTTGGCTCTCCAGATCCATCTATAGTGGCACCCACTAATAGACCTCTCTAGCCATTTATAGACTGACTTAGTCGAGAATTTTCCATTTTGATTAATCTCCCAGGAGACCCAATCACTATCACTAGTCAGTGGTAAACTATTGACCGTGGCCCGGATCATTTTCCATTGGTCAGATAGTTCAGTAGTAAACCCCCGTCTGACAAAACTGTTAGTATCCATATGATTCACTTTATCCACCGTGCATTCAGGGTCATTGCACACCGAGAAAAGTTGTGGGAATTGTTCCTGGAATCTAGGCAACCCATTGATGGGGTCCATCCATACCTGGGCAATATTTCCAGATGCGATGTTAACTTTTCTCCCCACCATATAAACCTCTTTCACCTTTAATAGAGCTTTCCAGCATGGTGAATC